TTAACGTATACGTTTGTGTGCAGGATTGTGTAGGTAGAATATTTAGCTGTTGCAATTCCTGGAGTTTTCTATCATTTTCTACGTCAACAGATAAATATGGCTCCGGCGATCAAAGATAATATGAAAGACATATTTCACAAAGTGCAATTAAATAAAACTGATCATCCGCAGTATATAAAAAAGCTTACAAAGTTGTATGAGAGGGTGAGTCTCTCTAATGCTTCTTTCGGTACATTTTGATTTTGCTTTCTTGAAATAGTATTGATTTTACAAAGTTGATTTAAAGTTTTCATTCAATTGATTAGAATAATTTTAGAATAATATTTGCTACATATATACATTTATTCTCTTGAAATAAATAATAGTATTTTATGATCTATTGATTCTTTTAGACTGATTTAGATACATTTTGGAAACATTTTGTCTGGTGTCTGAAGGTGCCTCTTTCAACACCACAACAACATCCATATGTTGTAAACACATTAGAGTTTTGTGCTAAATTCTGTATGAGTTTCTATCCATCCTTGGACAATGAATCCGTAGAACCAATCTCACCATTTCTTAGCAGATTATTTGAGTTTCTTTTATCGAGTCACAATGCTAAGGATAAAGGAGTAAGATTTCGTATATGTCATTTTCTAAATATGCTTTTAAACTCTATGGGCGATAACGCTTTCATCGACGACAATTTGTGTGACCAAATTACAGTCAGTATGATGGATCGATTATTGGACAAGTCACCTAAAGTCAGAGCACAGGCTGTTTTTGCCTTGTACAGATTGCAGGATCCATCAGATGAACAGTGTCCTGTGATAAAAATGTATCTCTTTCATGTATCTAGAGATCCAAATGTTGAAGTTCGTAAAGCGGTTCTTGCTACTATGGGCAAAAATCAGAAAACTTTACAGGCTGCATTTATAAGAACACGAGATATTGATGATTCTGTTCGTAAAAAAGCATATGAATTTATCAGTAAAATTACAGTGCGTTCCTTGACTATTGAACAAAGAGAATGTTTATTAAAGGATGGTCTCAAAGATAGATCCGAGAGTGTTAGAACATGTGTAAATAATGTTTTATTGCCAGCATGGTTAAGATATTTCAAAGGAGAGTATATGAGTCTTATTCATGCATTAGATGTAGGAATAGGAACAGAGTCTGCAACTTTAGCTTTACAGATATTGTTCAAGTAAGTATTTCTTCTAAGAAAAATAAAGCATAAAGAAAATAGTATAGGGTAGAGCGGAGCTTTTTCGTCCATTTCTAGCAATAATGTTTATGTTTCTGAATAGAACATGTTGACTGTTTAAAGATTGTGCCTTCAAGGGGCAATCATAATTGTCTAATGTAATTATAAGCATGTCACTGCAAAGAGATATTGTTTGCTATCGTAAATTTTTGCATTTAAAGTTGAAAATGATGGAATATATATATATATATATTATATATATATAGCCTCGCTCTACCATGTATCTGATAAAGTAATACATACCATTTATGTATACATATATATATTCTTAGTAAATATTGTTTTTATACAGAAATGTTGGTTTAGACACTTTATTGAAGCAAGTGCCAGTAGATAAGAATACAAGATTGATTCCTTTGACGAGTTTAACAAATGAAAATGTTTTATATTGGAAGTGTGTAATACAGCATCTTCATCATGTTTCTGCTATAGAAGAGTTAGAATTAATGATTCCAGAGTTATCAGAGTTCTGCAAATATATACATGATTTTGTTGCTTTCATATCTTCTCAATCACATGAGACGTGGGAAACAGAGAGTCACAAGTTTATTCTATTACAACTTTTTGAAATATCTACAATGTATGATCTCTCAGACGAGGTAGGCAGGAAGAATCTAAACGAAGTGATAATAGACACTTTAATGAGCGATCATTGCTCCACTAAAATAATTGAGTGTCTAGTGAGTCATTTAGCAAAAGTGATACCAGATGCCAGCAATATGCTGAATGCTGTTGCTAATGTTATTAGCGAGATTAGGTTACCTTTGAAAGAAAATGCAGTCACTCAGCAAATTACTGCAGAGCAACAGCATGAGAACAACATGCGAGTGAGTATTAAAATATGGTACCGTTAAAATATATCTGTAAATAATGAAAAAAAAATTATTAGATAATATAAGAGACTTCTCTATGTCTATAAATGTTTTATTTTCCTAACAATTTGATTGTAGAAAGCTAGATTAAAAGTTGACGTAATAGAACTCGAAGAGGAGTTGTATCAATCGATCAAGGATCAGAATTTTATACAAGCTGATAAGCTTAAAGAAAAGATTAACACTTTGAAAGAGGAAATAAACCGTTTATGTAATACACCCGAAACTATAATAACTGAGGATAATATGCGGGAAGAGAAAAATGATACTGTAACTATGGTTAAATGCCTTGATATTTTATATGTTGCAATACAATCTATTCGCGTATTAACGCCTACACTCAGAAGTTTGATGTGTTTTGTTTTAAACAGTCTTGATGTAAGTACGCATAAATTTCACGTGTGGGCGAGCGCATGTGTTTGTAAAAATGTGCATTATATTTTATTGTCTCTCTTAATCTAATTTATCGTTTTAGCATCCTCACGATAATGTACATATATTAGCGCTAAAGACGTTATGTGTTTATTGTATCTTGGACAAAGAATTAGCTAAGAAACACATAATGATATTTTTTTATCAATTTTCTCTTGAGCAAGAAAATCAAGAAATATGGGTAGTCTCTTTAATGGCAATATTTGATCTCTTGCTGGTGTATGGTTTGGAATATTTTGATATATTGCAAACTCCAGAAAACAATTCCGTACACAATAGATCTGAAAAGACTCGTTCACTGTATACACATGAGGATAGTACACATGAGGACATTTCTATAAGTAAGCGGACTGAAATAGAGGAAGGTCCTTGTAATTTCATTAAAATCTTAACAGGGTTGCTAACCAACGCGGTAAGTAACAATATCTTTGAATTTTGCTCAAATTGAATAAGATATTTAAGTAGTAATTATATTTGAAAATTTATAGAATCAAGGTTTACGCACTACTGCAGCAGAAGGACTCTGCAAATTATTGCTCAATCAACGAATAAATAGCAGTAATCTAGTATCGCGCCTGATAATTATGTGCTATAATCCAGTCAACGTCGACGACATTTATCTTCGTCAATGCTTGAGCGCTTTTTTTGACTGTTTTGTAGGGCGCGTACCTGATGCGCAAGAAATGCTTGAAAACGCATACTTCCCAACTCTGCAGGTTCTTTGTAACGCACCGGACATTAGCCCTTTACGGGAGATTAATGCGTATCACGTATCTAGGTTTATACTGGGTTTAACGAAACGAGGTTCTCAGAAGAACAGTGGACAAACGTTTTACACACATAATAATCTTGCCTTTGCTATATTGGCTGAGATTTTAAATCCGGAAAGCAAAATAGATCAAGAAATTCTTATTAGATCTTTAACAGATTTATGCATTCAACTTGAGGATGATAACCTATCGAAACAAAATCTGCAAAAAGCCATTAAGAATGTTACAAAAATGGTATGTCATTTATCTTTCATATTTCTGTATCAAGTCTTTCAAATACTTCTCTGATCAAATTTTTGATACAAAATCATAATTTAAATGCTGATAAACGGTTGCTTAAATATATTCAGCAATTTAAACAAAAATTAGAGATACCTTCCGAAGAAACAGGGATTAATACGGAAGATGATAGTGACAGCGAATCGTAATTATATAATATGTATTTATATTTATTAAATAAAGGGAATCCTAATTCTTGAAAATATTAAAATTAAATTTAAGTTATAACGTTATCTCATTTAATAATTCTTTAAAAAAACCAGTAATTATAAGTTTTTTTTCATTACTAAATATATTGGAAGATGAAGATTTTTTTATTCCGTATTGCCTAAGATACTAAGATTATGAAATCCTAAATTTTACGTAATGCACCGTGTTAATGTGTCATTGTATTGACGCACGATACGATTTTCCCGACACTCGTAAAAATGTAATCCGCACAGCGATGCTGCGTAAAAACTGATAGTCCATTTAGTGGCTCTCTCTATCGGCACGTTCATAAGCATCAAGGCCGTCCAGATAATCCAGTAAACGTCGTTAATTCCTAATTGCATTGATCTTCGGCTTTGGAACCATTTCCTCGCGTAAACGATGGCCTCGACGAAGTTTCGCAAGGTTATTCATGCGTACGTTTTTCCGTTTCCAAATCTATCGAGATTGAGGCCGACGTCTCTATTTACGTATAGACGTAAATAGAGACAAAACTATCGCCTATTTTTTTTCGTAGTATTATAGTGAAAGAAATATTTTTTTTATCATGCGCAGTATATCGAATATCTCATCTTTGAAATGAGTAGGTACTATTATTAATATGGGTAAGGTTCATCAATAAGGCATAAGATATAGAATCGAAAGACATCAACCATTACGTCTCGTCATTTCGTAAAATAAAATATCTCATTTTTTAGATAAGGAACTGTTTTAGTTTTTGGTATTGATAGAAATTGCAGATGTTTATTTATGTGTGTCTGCAACGATTTCTTAAAATCAAGCATTTCCTTCAATTTCTATTTTTTAGCGCATGTTTTATATGAAAGAAGATGCTGTTAGTTATTTTTAATTAAAATTTCTATTTTTAAAACAATTTATGTCATTAATGCTATTTACTCGTCGCAAAAGGTCTTTGATGAAGATGAGTAATGCACGAGAGACGTATGATTCATGGAAACATCGCAGACGTATTATGACAACAAAGCAAATATTAAAGCTGTATTAAATTTAAAAATTCCGTAAGTTTTAAAGAATAAAATTTTTTGTGAAAAAAAATTTTTATTGTAGAAAGAAAAATTTTTACGAAACTTTTTATCTTATAAACATATTTAAACAAGATTTTAATTTATCGAATTGCTTTACAGCCAAAAATTAACTCGTAGACTTTGTATTTCAGAATCGAAATAAATCATAAGGTCTCGCGAAAAGTTAGGTATTTGTACGCACCTGGCAGCATTTTATCTACTTGACGTCGTCGACAGAGCGCGGTGCAGTCGTATGTCAGCAACATGGCGGGCGTGTTGTTCGAAGATATTTTCAACGTGAAGGACATTGATCCGGAGGGCAAGAAATTCGACAGGGGTGAGTTCATATCAGAGTTTACATTTCGGCGCGTTCGCGTTTCGACTTGCCGCGGTGATGCGCGCGCCATTTTCATTGCCAGAATGATAGCGTCTGACGAGCTGCTCGATCTTGCCGATAGCGCCGGCAACATCACGAGCACATGGTGTAACAGCTGAGCGTTCTCGATCTTGTCTCGAAATCCTCAAATCTTTATCTTATCCGCTTTATTCACTGTGGTATGGTCGATGTGAACCGATGGCTGCAACGTCGATCGAGAAAAGGATAATCTGCATGACACCGGTGCGGTGACACTGATCCCGCTCGTCGATCGGCACATATGATATGAACCAACATGAACCGTCAACCGGCGCGGATGTATCAATGGCGGGTTATTCGAACGTAGATAATACACTGAGGCTGCGTTCTACTTAACGCTCACAACGCTCGTTGAATCATTTCATCCTTGTCGTTTATCAAATGTTAAATAAGGACGAACGATGCTCGCGAGCGTTGCGAGCGTTAAGTGGAACGCAGCCTGAGAGAAAAATGTACTAAATTTTATTCGAATAGTGCCAATTGAATATTTACTAAATGTAAACATATACTTATTTGGTACAAGAAGTATTAATTTGATTTACCTATTATTATATTTTATTTAACAAATATTTATTTTCCGTAAATAAATGTTGTATTAGTACTATTCAAATAGTTATTTATTAAAATTTAGTACATTTTTCTCTCAGTGTAGAGGTTAAAATAATACTCGAGACAGTCTTATAGCGTTTTCCATTGGCAGAACTGGTGCGCACTCAGTGCACAAAGCTGTTATACATTACTCTGATTTGAATGTAAAAGTAGGATATTTCAACTGATAAAATGCCCAATGTATATCTTATCAAATAGCACGATAAAATGAATTGAGGATTTCGCAGTTTTTAATTCGTTTCTATATTTTTATTAAACATACATCTTTTACGTTGATTTGTGTACAACGGCTTTAAAGTGCGTTGAATGCGCACTAGTTTTGCCAATGAAAAACGCTATTAAAATAGGAACGGACTATGAATGCAAAATCGAAATTTGTTTTTCAAAACCTATTAATGTTTAAAATAACAAAAACGAAAATAATCTAGGCTACTGAGAGTCAACGAGGAAGGAGGTGCGCAAAAAAAAAATTTTATCAAGTAAAATTGTTACTCCATTTGATGTACAGATGTCTTCTTTATTTAAAGTTTTGAGAACTCATTGAACGTTTCGACTCTCTTTGGAGTCTTCTTCAACAATATTCTTATTCTACATTAGATTTCGCGAACGGACAAGGTAGAGTCACTCACAGGTTGCCAAAACTGTAGTGGAATCTGTAATTCAAATTCAAATACTTAAATTCAACCAAATAAGCGGCAAGCAACTCATCTCCACTGTCGTACATTTTATGCGGAACTGATTTAACTGCGCTTAAGCAATTCGAAGTGTCGAATAAGTCTAACGAGCGTTTAAATCGTCAAAGGTCAGATCGAGGGAAAACAATAAGTCATATAATAAATATAAGATATCAAGACAGTATGCTGCTGGAATATAAGTTACTGATTAGAGTTATAAATTTAATTTAATAAAAGAAATTGAAGAGTCAAGAAAAAATATAGAATAAGTTATGAACCTCAGTAACATTATACGTAAAATTATGTAGTGGAATTATTATCAATCAATATTGAATTATTAGTTATGTTAAATTATTTAACATAGATGCATAAAGCAATGATGCGGTCCATCCGTGTCTGAAGTTAAATCCATTTTTTTGCATGTATGTGTACTTTTTCAGATATTAACCGTTTGTTTAATATTCTTTCTGAATCAAGTATTTTGACGTTCTCCCAATCGAATTCGTGATTATATTTCATTCTGTGATCCGTAATAATTGATTGACTATTTGTGTTCCAATTTATGTGATTGCGATGTTCGGTAATTCTTATACTTAACTTCCTACTCGTTTGTTTCTTACGTGTGTTGCATCACAATCTTTGCAATATATACAACGTTTTTGTTCGAATTCTTTGGGAGAACGTCTTTTTGTACTTTTATAAATTTATTCAGTTTGTTGTTACTGAAAAATGATGGTTTTAAGTTTTCATTCTTACAAATTGTTAAAAATTTTTCTGCGGTTGTCGAGTATTATCAACGTTTTTTGTGATTATAAATAGAGATTGAAACCCGTAATTCCAGAGAAAGAGAAAGAGATCACGACTTTGTTCACGAGATCTTCAGATATATTTCTTAAAATAATCCCTGTTTCGAAAATTTTGGTTCTAATTAAAATATGTCATATTATTTTTTATTGTAAAAAAATACCTCCGCCCGCGCTTTCTTCTTTCATCCCGGAAGACATTTTTAAATCCGCGTTATCTTCATGTATTCGTCTTGGAGGACATTGCGACCCTGATAACCGCGGCCTTTCCGCTCTATGTTTTTGCCACTCGCTCGTGGACCACGAGAGAGAGAGAGAGAGGGGGAGGGGGGGGAGAGAGAGAGAGGGAGAGAGGAATTTGTAAAGTGACGTAGATTGGAAGAGGCGACCATGACCGAATTCTCTGCCGGATATATTGGATCTTCGCGGTATGTGCTGTGTCCTGTTAACTTTGCCACTCAAAAATTATCGATGTATCAATCAATTTTTTTCTGACTTAACATTTAGCAAAATGCTTCATTGACAGAAAACAGTCTGGTTCAGTCTGGTTGCGTTTAGAATACTCGTTATAGTAATTGTTTTGAGATAGATATTTTAATCTTTGAATATTTTGTCAAGTGTTATAATTTTTAATGTGATGTGTTATTTATCTTAATGTATATTTATTATTTTTTCTTCTAATATACAATTCTACAAATAGTTGAGAAGAATTAAAAACACATTTTCTTGATTCATGACATTCCGTTTATCAAGTCTCGTGTTTTTGACTACCTTTACACGGACACTCATAATCGGGTTTAATAACATCTGTAGTTACGAAACTGGTCAATCATAGCTATTCCTTTGAATAATGGAATGACTATGATTGGCCACTTTCTAACTATGGATGTTATTAAATCCGATTAAGAATGTCCGTGTAAACGTAGTCTCGGATGCTAGAAATCGCTCCGAGATCTCAGACAGAGAAAGAATTAACAAATTACATTTGAACAATTCGATCATATGACCAATAACGGTTGATCAAATCTCCTTTGAAATTCTAGTTGTGCCCGTAATTTAACCTGATGATTATTTCTTTATGCAGAAATATATCCCGTACCGTTATAATTGTAAATCTCTTCTCGTGTTCAATGTACATTATAGACAGAACTACAATACACAAAATCGGTGATTGCTATCTCCGATTTAGATAACCCAGATTGTCAGCGACAGGTCCATTCGTGTAGCCTAGGATGCTCTTCCTCCCATCACCCTCTTTGCCTATCTCTTTCTCCCGCCGCGTCATCTTTCATCCAGCGTTCGATAAAACACGCTATTACCATACACGGCGTATATCGACCAACGAGCGCTCCTCTTCGGTGTGCGATTGTGAATTCCGAGTCGATAATTGGGTAGTGCCCATCGCTGGCTGACGAGCGAGCGTTGCAAAACGAGAATGTCGAGAGTGAGGGGGGAATTTCTCCTCTCTCTATCTCCCTCCTCCCCCCTTCCCCTCCTCTCTCTTTTGTGAGGGATGAAACCGGGTGCTCGCTTACGACCGGTCGATGCAGCGAGGATGCCCGCAGCAGCAGCAGCAGCTCCGAGCAACACGGCACTCACGTAATATGACGCGACTGCGTTGCTGAGCTGAGGAGAGAGAGAGAGAGAGAGAGTGAGAGAGGGGGGAGAGGCAGTGAGGATGGTGAAACGGGTTGCGCGGAGAGCTATGAAGCAGCCGGGACGCGTGAGTTGTGCTGGTGGGGGTTGACACGGTCAAGGTCAGCCTCAGTTCTAAGGTCGCGAGGGTATGTCATCTCAGAAGGGAGCGCCTGAATAATACTCCATCTCTTTTTCTCGCTCGCTCTTTCTTTTCCGTCGTCTCTTTCTCGTTTTTGTGCTCGTTTTCGGCTTCGCTTTCGGATCAAGTCGTAAAGCGAGGACGAGCGTTCTTCGTCTTCTTCTTTTCTGGTTTCGTTTTTCTTTTTCCCCTTTTACGTTCGTATGCGTGTCAGCTTGGACTCGTCCATCCGCCGACTGATGGAAGAGCCGTATTTATTTCTTCATCTCGCGAGCTTCCCTCGTTTGGCCGACGCGAGGATGCGCGCATAATTCCGTTTCGCGACCGTAGAAACGTAAAATGATCTTCATATACATATAAATTGAATAAAGAAAATCTATAATTTAAGGTACCGCTTTGTCTGTGTAAAAAAAGAGTATTGTTTTAACCGGTTAAGTGGTAGGCTTTTTAAAACATTCCGTGCCAAAAGTGGTAGGCGTCAATTGTGAACTAAAATATACCAAAATTTGGCCCTGGGGGTCGTGACATGTTCACCAGCTAACTGCGGGGGTAAAACGTAATTGCAATATATATACAAAAATCGCCATTTTCATTCAACGTATTAGTCGCCATGTTGTGTTCGCCATCAAATTTTACAAATTTGACGCCAAAATCGAGTTCAGAAGCCCAAAAAACAATAGTATACCAAATTTCAAGCAAATTCGTTGAATAATATAGAAGTTATTCAAGATGTGCATATATGCTACAATACCACTTTTGGCACGGATTCTTTTTGTGCATATATGCTACAATACCACTTAACCGGTTAATATTGTCACAAATAAACAACTAACATTAGATATATAAAAACATGTAACAGTTTCGTATGGTTTAATTGTTATTGTTGATCAATAGTTGTTTCAAATGGCAATAGTAATCAATTACATTAACCTGTGAAAAAATTGTTTTAATAATTTTAACTATTTTTTATGTATTTTTGTCTGTTGAACATGAATTCGTTTTCCAAATTTGGCTATCGCATCACAATTTTGAGAAAAATGGTGTCAAAGAGATAAAAAT